TTCTTATACCATGCCTTGGAAATCAGGGAAGGTGTGGTATGAGAAAATGTCATTTTTGGTGTTTTTCCATTTTTTCTATTGTTGCTAGCAACAATATGTTGACATGGCATTGAAAAATGTCTATGTGGCAACAATAGCAATGGTACCAAATAGAAAACATGAGAAAATGTTTTTTTTTTTTGATAAAACAACATGCTTATGCAACACCATTTTCTAAGAAAACACCTCTCAGGAAACGACATTGGTTCCAAACACAGCCTTAGTGAGAGGACTTAGTTGCCTGGCTTATTATTTATACGCCAGTAGTTCAAATGGATTGAAAAATTAAGGGCATGTTTGATAATGTGAATGTTTTTGTTTTCACTTGTTTTCAGAGTTGTCACATCATAAGCAAATGAAAGCAAGCTCTCTAACTTTGTTTTATTTTGGGAGGTGAAAAAAATGTGGTTTTGTTCCCAAGGCTGCATTTGGAAACAATGCAAATGGAGTGTAAATCCCGGTTCAGGGTAAATTTGCACTATGGTTTATTTTTGCTTGTTCTTGGTAGCATTAAATTTATGCATTAACAAATGACAGACCAATGCATATTTACATTGATAATAAGATGTAAAAGTACATCAATATATAAAAAAGAAGTAAATTTGCATTCAAGTGGACTTTTGATAAAAAAAGGCATATGTTTTATTGGAATTCGTGTTTGTATCCATTACAGCTAAAAGTCTGTTTGGTAAGAAGGTAAATTTGTCAGTGCAAAACTAACCCAACATTGCAATTTATATGAACCGCTTTACACTCTACAAATTTGCATTCACAATTATTTGCATCGTTTCCAAACGCAGCCCAAAAAACAAACCATCAAAATTATGTTTTCTAAATAAAAAACAACATTTTTTCTTCAAGCATGAAAACAAAAAATTCATACATATTTCTTGTTTTTGTGTAGCTTGTGTTTTTATTCTAATAAATAAATTGTTTTTAAACCAGATGGTGTTGATTTGTCCTTCAAACTAACAACAAGAAAAATAATTCATGTTGTAGAACGCCCCCTAAAATGAGGATTGGTTCTAAGTTCTTCAATGTGACTTCTAAGTTCTAAAAACAAATCAAAGCCGCCACCTAGTTTTAAAACAAATTGATTCTTAAATAGAAATATGGAGAACATGTTCTTGGTTATATGTGTTTTTTTCAATCTAAAATTGAAACAAAAAAACATGTTCTTGAATTGTCGGTTTGAAAAACATGTTTTTGTTTTAAATTGATGTAGGGTGATTTGGCCCGACCTAGTAATAGGGGGACACGTGGAAACGACCTAACTAGCAGGATTACGGCTTAGTCCGACGCACCAAGTCTGCAACGGATCGAGATCGAATAACCAAACCACCTCAGGGCAAGTTCACCTCGATGCACGATCGCATCAGGACCACCTCGGTCCCAAGGCACTTTGGCATTCGTACCAGGTCGGATCCAAACGGCACTAGCTCGGGTGATACTAACCAACCACTGCATGGCAACCCTGAAGATCTTGCCACCAGATTCCACGCCTCACGAGATCACGCCTCGTAACAACTAACATTATCTCCCCCGTCCGATTCGGGCGGAAGTGATGAATCTTATCAATTGGTAGCGTTATCCCCAATTATCGCAGAAATGGACCTCATCGTGTCGAGGATTCCGGAACCACTCCGCGAAACCTGCAAGGACTCCACTATATAAAGGCTTCACCCCTCGGGGGTGCAAGGTACGTGTAATCTCTGCTCTCTAGCTCTCTTGCATTCTAAGCTATTATCAGCTCGCAACCAAGTACTAACTTAAGCATCGTAGCGACCTCGCCGAGTAAGCAACACCGGGTTCTCTGACTCACTTTTTGCAGATCAACCGAGTCCGTTGTCTATTGGAAACCAGATCACCTCTAGCTGGGAGCAGCTGGATTGCGCTACATCACAAATCATATACAATATCTCTCATCATCTTTCATAAATCAGGAAATATATGTATCGAAACCACCATTTTGATGGTCTCGAAAACATGGAATAATTGTTTTTTGAAACAAAACCAATTTTATAAAAAACAGAGTTCAAGAACATGTTTTTTTATTTATTTGATTTTTTTCGCTGATATGGCAATTTCAAAAACATATGAACACCATAAAAATTCTAAATTATTGAAAATGGAGAAAATGTACTGTTCTAAAGTTCAAGAAAACAATTTTGATATAGTTTTCATTTAGAAAAATCAACATTAATTTTCTCAAAGATCAAGTGAGGAATTTCATATAATTTCTCCTATTGAAATGATAAATCAATAAAGAACTAATGTGAATTCCACACAATTTTCTTTAAACTAGAAAAACATAGAAAATTTTTATGTAGAACATTCTCATATAAAATCAAGATAATAATTTTAAACTGTCAGTTAATATATTGACAAAATATCCCACCTAAGAAAATTATAAAAAACAAGAAATTCTAATGAGATTTTTACCAAAAAAAAATCTTTAGATTCTGGAAAAATCTAGAGCTTGTCACAAAACAAGGTTAGAACTCCAGGCTGTATTTGGTTTGAAAGAAAAGGTAAAGAGAGGAAAGTAAAGATAGGGAAACCTATACAAACCAAACACAGCCTCAAATTAATCACAATCCAAATACCCTTTTATCTAAAGGTAAAGCTCAATCCATGTGAATACTGAAGTTATCTTGTAGTTTAGGTTATATTTAGTATCATTGGTGTTTCTACATGAAATGTTTTGAGTTGATTAATATACAAAGTGGTGAGAAATGTGGTCAGTTGTCACATGATAATTGTGTTGATGAACCCAAAACATATAATACCTAAAGAAAAGAATGTTTTAGGTAGAAAAATATCTCTAAAATTTGTGTTGATCTATCCAAGACATATCGTATACAAACAACGATGGTACCAAACACAACCTTACTTATTATTCACACATCCAGCTTGTCAGGCGTGTAATTGTATTATAATTTTATTTTATTTTTTCAATGAATGAATATAAAAATAGGAGTTTCTTTAAAATATAATTTTTCAAGAAAAAAGGGTAGGGTTGTTTCAGTGTTGAACCTTAGAATAGAAGCGTTGAAAGGGAATATTCCAGTTTATGTTTCGATAAATAAAATTAATAGGGCCAGCTGGATCAAGGAGAAGACTAACAATCAAAGTTGCACTTTTCTTCTCCAACAAAGAAAAAGAAAATGCTAGCCAAGTGCTATAACAGATCAACAAGGAACATAGAATGAATGGATTGGCCTGTGTTACTCACCAATCTGTAAAGCAACCAGTTCCCTTCATTCTGTTCCTCTGATTCCTTCTTGGGAAAGTATTAGCTGTGAGACCAAGATAGAACTGTCAGATTCAAGAATATCCATCCAATCCTCTTGTTTATTTTATATTTTCTAGAATGTGTATAACAATCAAGGTTTTTAAAACAGTCAGGTCAAACTGTTTCTAGGTCGAATAGTCTGGTCAAACTGTATTACAATCAAGTGCTATAATCGAATAAACGGCCCATTCTGACAAAAAAAATAAAAAACGGTCAAAACTGTCGGATGATTCGAACAGTTCAAACTGTTTGACTGCCCGGATCAACGGTTTTCTGACCAAATCAATGATTTTTGGCTAAATAACAGTTATGGGGTAAAACCTGACTGATTCCTAGTTTTTCCGGTCCGACCGTCCGGTTCGGTCCTACTTTTGAAAACCATGATAACAACCACACAGGCACACATCATATTTGTACATTATATCGTGGCATTTAGAGGTGTCAATTGGACAGATTTGGTGCAACCCGATCCAGTCCAATGTGACTCCACTTATAAATGGATTGGACCCAACCCAGTCCAAATCCAATACAAACCAAATCCAATCCAAATCGAATGAAATATCGAAAATTATATAAAAGCACTTTTAGCATTGAAAAAACACTTTTGTAAAAGTACTTTGATAAAAATATTTTCGTAAAAGTGCTTTTACAAAATCACTTTTCGAAAAGTACTTCCATAGACTTATAAAAGTACTTTTGTAGAAGTACTTTCATAAAAGTATTTTTATAAAAGTGCTTCCGTAGAAGTGTTTTTATAAAAATGCTTTCATAAAAGTACTTTTGTCAAAGTGCTTTCGTAAAAGTGATTTTCTAAAAGTACTTCCATAAAAATGCTTTCGTAAAAGTACTTCCGTAAAAGTTTTTTTTGTAAAAATGATTTCATAAAAGTGCTTTCGTGTAAAAGTAGTTTTATAAAAATGCTTTCGTAAAAGTACTTTTATAAGTTCTTTTATTAAAGATTTTATAAAAGTGCTTTTATAAAACTAATTCTGTAAAAGTGTTTTTATAAAAGTACTTATGTAAAAATGCTTTCGTAAAAGTATTTTTATTAAAGTACTTTTGTAAAAATACTTTTCATAAAATTATTTTTATAAAAGTGATTTTATAAAAATGTTTTTATAAAAGTGCTTTTGTAAAATTACTTTCATAAAAGTAATTTTATGTTGTTTTCAGTTTTGATTGATTTCAAATTGGACAAGGATTTGCCATCATGATCAAATTATCAAAAATTTAGTTTAAGTCTAATTCAAATCAATAAGAATACAGACTAATTTATTTTGGATTAGCCCAAACCTGTCGGTTGACACCCTTATGTGGCAATATATACAGGTGACCAATTTATTTTGGATTAGCGCAAACCGGTGATTGACACCCCTACGTGGCAACATATACGGAGGTCAGGTGACATTTGAACATATTCAATGGTGATATTTCAATATAATCAGTGCCACGTGGCATGAGTTCGAATGAAATAATTGGGTTGGCCGGCCGGCCGGCCCCAATCCAGACCCGTTAATGATGACCGGGGATCCCCCTAACGGTTATATGTGGTTGATGAGAACAGCTACGCATAGAATACCCGCCATAGTAATTAGTAAACGTTCAATTTTCGATCTTCGCGCGATAATTCAAATGAAGAATATATACAGTGTGGAGCATGGACCGAGGAGGATGTCGAAACCAGGTGCCATGACCAGCCAACTACCAGTCTTCAAATTTCAAAACCTACCATTCTCTCTTCTAGCATTTTTCTTTTTCTTTTTCTTTTTTTTGTCTTTTCTTTGACGATGAATAGGTATTCCCAGACCCAGATAAAGTTCGACAGCTTTTCTTCTTTCTCTCTCTCTCTCTCTCCGATCAATACAGAAGTTCAATATCGATCTCGACTACTTACTGATCCATTCAAATGGCGAGGACAGGCAACAAGAATATCCAGGCCAAACTGGTGGGTATGTCTTCCCTTTCCGGATTGTATTCCTCTTCTTTAACCTTGATTAGCTTCTTCTCCTTGCTAGTTTCTTGTTGTTTCCAAGATATATCATGACTATTCCCACCCACCAAAGTTTCTGTAATTCTATCTATATTTGCTTCTTTTCTTTTATTTATTTAGGCAAATAGAGTGGTACCAATTGCCCAGTGGACTCATAAGTTATTCTTGTAGACGCATTAATAGTTTTATAATGGCGGGTTCTCAGATTTTCCGGAGTACCGGCTCTCTAGGATGACCCTGTTATTTGCAGAAGCTAAGAAATTCGATATCTATGTGAAGAAGCTGCTTATAGATTAATACGGCAATAGAACGTAGTGGCGCAGCTGTAATTGAAATTCACCCTATTTTTCGGAATTCTTGGCACTTCTCGTGAAATGAAACAATTTAATTTGACCCATTGGTTGTTAAGTAGGTTCAGCTTTTGCTAACTTGTGCTTTGCTTTCTTCAATAACAATTGGATAGATGGTCCTTGTCTTTTGGGGAAACCGTAGCAGTTTGACGGTTTCTGCATCTCCTCATGTACAACTTGTTCAATAATCATTAGCAATTAGCAAATTGTCCCAAGGATTCTGATTTCTCCACACAAAAGAGGAATGGTTAAATAAATTGGTCAAATCATTTTAATTTTTACTTTAGATTACTTCTTTGGAACTTCAATGCCCTATTTCTGTTAATGTTTCAATGTTGCCACAAAAATTTTGTGCCAGTGCCAAATACGGAAATATAGGATGCTGGAGAATGGGGCTTGACCACGTTCTTTATGCTCACATTGATTTGACTCTAAACATGAATCATACTGCAAAACTTTTTACATCTGTGATCAGTTTTTTCATAATTTTTTTACAGGTTCTTCTTGGGGGCATGGGGACTGGAAAGACTAGTTTGGTATTAAGATTTGTCAAGGGCCAGTTTTTTGATTACCAGGTTTATTCTTGGTTTCTTGTATCTTTCACTCCGTTACGTCTTTTCCCTGGTCTTTCCTTTTTCTTATGGTGAACTTTTGACACTAATTGACAATATACAGGAATCAACTATAGGAGCAGCCTTCTTTACTCAGATATTGTCATTAAATGAAGCCACTGTGAAATTTGACATATGGGATACAGCAGGACAAGAACGATATCATAGCCTGGCCCCAATGTACTACCGTGGTGCTGCAGCTGCTATTGTGGTGTATGACATATCAAGTGCAGTAAGCTATTTGTTAATCTTCTAATGACTGTCATTGCTTGTTTAGGCGGTTTTAAAAATATGGATATATAGTTCCATGAACTAGGCAGTTCTGGCTCTATTAAATGCAAACATTGTCAATGCGTAACTTCTTTTACCCATGGAGGTTTAATGAAACTTGTAGGTGTTCAAGACTGCTATCAGTCTTGATCACTAAGAAGTTTCAGATTCGATGAGAAGAGAAAGTGAAGAAGAAGTAGAAGAAAGAGTGGTGAGAGAGCAGTAGAACACAAATTTTGAGGAGAAGAACAGAATGTCAGTATTCTGCCGCCGCCACTTTAATATAATATATATATGATATGCTAGTTACATGAAAGGACATATCTGCCCTTGGTGCTTACATCATAACTGCTAACACATAACAAACAATATAAAACTGAAAAATAAATAGCAACTAGGAATAACAGAATAACAAATTGACCATTGACCACAGCTGTGACTAGATACATTCTACCCTACGGACAGAGTGGGACCACATATGTGGGGCCCACATCAATGTTCTCTACAAAACTCTAATGTTTTCCTCAGAATTTTGTTGACTGCACTTGTAATGAAGGAGAAAATAAAATTCTAAAGATTGATGGAATTCTTTTTTTTTCTTTCAATATTCTTTGTGGTATTCCTGGTGTGCATGTGCAGTTAGGTAATATAATGATGTTTTAATTTATTATAATGCATGTACTTGTGGCATGGTCTTCTTCCCTTTAATCCCTTCCATTCATGAATCCTTGACAAGTAGCAGCACTGTGTATGTACAGTCATCTATGTCTGTGTGTGCAATTGCTCACCTTTGCCTCCTAGGTTTTCTAAAGTTAGCTATGCTTGGAAGTGTTTATTATGTTTATGGGCTGTAATTAGTTGCCATGATCTTTCATGCTCATTTGAAAATGCAATTCATTGTCTGATTTTTTTTCTTCCATCTATATATTCATCTTTTTCTAAGAATTGATTTGACTAATAAAATGTGTGGTGTTTTGGCCTCAGGACTCATTTATTCGGGCCAAGAAATGGGTTCAAGAACTGCAAAGACAAGGTGACTTATTGAAACGATAGATTAATTTTGGATTCCACTCAGTTTCATGTGCCTTGTATGCTTAAACCATTTAAATATATCCTCTCTTATGGTTCATATAGTTTAGATTAAGAAGAAAAAATAGCATGGAAGTTTTAACTTTTCTTTGGAAGTACATCGTGAGATTAAATTTGGATATTCTCTTCTCTTGTCCAGCCATTTCCCTTTCATTTCCCCTAGGATTATAGCTTTTTCTGTTGGGTGACTTGATCATAGCACCAAACCATGTCATTATTAAATTTATACTTACTATAACTAGAAATTGTTACTTATTTGGCTAAATGTTAAGTTTTCTTACCTGATTTGATTAAATGAACTTAAAAGGCCAAAACAGATCAGTTGAACTTTGCTCTTGTATCATAATTTTCTGTAGAAGATCTATTCTCCTCTTTCTCTTATTCATTTTCTGTTCCTTGTCCTATGTTGAACTTTTTCAATGATTTGGAGATTTAAATCTCTTCAGAATCAATGACATGACAGCATTAGAGTAAGAAACTTTTATAATAAATTTTAAGATACCAGATTAGCACTCCTAACTCTGCCAGTGTGAGCTTGTCTTAAGCTGCTGGTCCCAAGCCCAGATAAAGGAGTGTTGTGTCGGGTTGGCAGCCAGCACTAATGCCAAACCCTCATGCATATGGAGATTAGCTCTCCTGGTTTATCTAGATTGAGGGATAAAGTTGGTATCTCAATAATTGAATATAATTGATTTTGCATGTTAAATTATTTTAGGGAATCCAAATTTGGTAATGATGTTAGTGGCAAACAAGGCCGACTTGGAAGATAAGAGAAAGGTGGCTAATGAGGTATGTGCAAAATCCTTCATGGTCTTCTGATTTCCATTTTGTTGCTCAACGTTATTAACTTTTTAACAATTTACTTGTTTATGGAATGATTCAATGATAATGATTTTAGTCTAGGAAGCAAGATTTCTTTGTTTCAAATCCAATACAGGCATTTAGTTGATGCCATAGACCTGGACTTAGAACCTAGTTTCAGTCCCCATTTTCTCAAGCCAAATGTATTGCTACAATTCATTTTATCCAGCTAGCCTGTTGATAAGATCTCTGGCTGGTTATAGCAGAGGGATCAAATCCTTCCTTCAGCTTCTATATTATTTCTGTGGGTCATTATGTTATACCATCTGTCATCACTGCTGCTATACCATCAAATTTTCTTAGCATCAGAAACACCTCATTTGCTTGTCAATCTTATTCTTTCAGAGTGATTAAAATTGTAAATTACTGGCTTTTCTAATTGTTTCTTATCAAGTATAGTTATTGGATCTCTCTATATTATTGCAGGAAGGTGAGCAATACGCCCAAGAAAATGGGCTATTTTTCATAGAAACTTCAGCAAAAACTTCACAAAATGTTAACGAGTTGTTCTATGAAATAGGTAAATTTTCATTTATTTCTCTGTGGATAGCTATGTTCCCTTGCACCCCGGCTGTAGGAATCATTATAATTGCAGGAAATACAAAACACCCATTCAAGTTAGTAAATTCACCAATTATGTCATACTTCTGATCTAGGAGATCTAATCCAAAATAACAGCCCAATTGATGGCTGACTGTCCTATTTCTTTCATTCTTCTGGATGGTCAGAAGGGGAAGTGGATGGCCAAAGTAAATCCATATGGTGAATATTATTCTTATCCAAACATTGTCATCATGGGATAACATTTTTTTCCATAGTTGCTTCGAGTCTTTTCTCAGTTGGTTCTGATGGAAATTGAATGGCTTCATGTTGGTTAAAGTCCCCTGATATTTTGGTCAACCTTGACCAAGAGCATTATATTTTACAGTTTGCAGGAATGTTCTTAGCTTGCTACTAGGTCTTGTGGTGCAGATATGTTGTTGTATGACATTTTCAGCCTGGATTCTAGATTTCCATTTGCCCCTTCTATTTTGTTTTCGTAATAAACTTTTGTTCTAGTTATGTTACAAGATTAAAGGCCTTTTACAGCAAAGCTATTGGCAAAGGCCTGCCCTACACGCCCCAAAGGAATGAATCTACATGATGAAGCACGGGGAAGGGGGAGAAGACGGTTTTGTTGCTCAGCATAATAACATAGCCACCTGGCCAAGATCTTCACTGTGGGTGCGCAGCTATCTCAATTCTTCTTTTACTTCATGGAATGATAAGTCTGTTGGAGTCAATGCATGTTTCTATTGCCAATGCTGGTTTTCTTTTTCTTATTTAAAAATCAATTGCTAATTTTACTGTTCATTTTACCAGGTGATTCTCCAGTGTGGATGATAAATTTATTGACACTTTTACCCAGCACTTAAACCATGTCTTGTAAATACTTGCAGTCTGGACATTACAAGATTCCTTTTAACGGCTTTGCTGTCTCCTTTGAACTGTTTACTGTGCTCGTGTAAGTGAAAGGAGGAGCATGGGAGCCAAAAAGAATAAAATGAATTTTCTACAATTAATGGGATATATTCTAACCAATGAAGCAGACCTTAGTTGTCAACAAAAGTTTCTATTTCAACTTACCAGCAATATAGTTAAGTTGGTATAATAGTGGTTCTGTGATAAGGAATTCCAAATAGTTCAATAAAAAGCACCAACATAATCAACTCCTGGTAAAGCTTGATGGTCAGTCATGTACTTCGACAGATCCTTCAGAAGTGTTTTAAAACCATGAATTTCTAAGTCATGCAATGCCTGCTTAACTCGGTCATCTTTATGAATGAAGAAAATGTATCTTGCCTCCAATAGCTGCATTGAGAGCGTTCTCAGAATTTATACAGGAAAATTATGTAATACAGAACCATTTCCCATTTTGGAGAAAAAGGAATTTTATAGGACCAAAGTCAGATGACTTGTGGATGTGAAAATGTCTTGGAATCCTTGAGCTAGCTCATTTATAGAACACGCAGCCTCTGTCCTGTTAAGAGCCTGTTTGGGAAGGCTTCGGTTTGATTGAATTGCATTGAAGAAGCTAGTGGGACTAGCTTCACCAAAAGTCGATTTATTAGCTCAATTGAAGTGTATTCTGAATTTCTGGAATTTTCACCAAACATAGCTTCTAGGCTGTGTCAACCCTATTAACCCACAAAGCATACATAGCTGTGTCATGGTGGTGGGAAGATTTGGTGGCCTCGCCATGGACAGAAATCAATATTGGCCAACTAGTTTGAAGTTTGAAAGACAAAATGGTCAATTAGAACCTGAAAGGAGTTAGAATTTCCAACCAGAATCCAAGGCTAATACCCATTACCATTTGAGTTTGAGAGACAAGAGTAAATCCCAATTGATGTCATGATCTGGTTTTTTTCAGATTGGCACCCTTCATAGAGAAATTTGCACGACTTTCTCAGATTTGTCTGAAGACTCTAAATGAAAGGACCTGAAATCTGTTTCGGAATATCTCAAACATTTTCTTTAAAAATAAAGTTAGAGGATAAAAACTAAAAAGAAAAGAAAAGGACATTTCCCATAGATCATGGGGGTGTTTGGTAAATGGTATTGGGTTGCTGTTGCATTTTGGGTTTATCAATATAAATTGCTATTTCTACCCAAAACAACAAATTTGATTTTTCTCACATATGTAAATTTTTCTAAGTGAAATGAGGCTCATGATGTGGCAATACATATTTCTCACAAACTTGTATTGACCAACCCAAAATGCTACAGCACTATACCAAACACCTCTCATGTTATCAAGACTACCATCCACCCTAAGCATCAGAAAATACCAAACACCCCTCAGTATATTATTTTGGGTAATCAGAAAATACCCTTCAAGTCATTGAGACAATTGTTTAGTATAAAAAATGTATTCTCCAATGTGGTTCTACTGTACAACGTCCTCAGAATGCTTGACAAGTACCTCAGCTGTTCAAAAATAGCTACAAGGGAAAAAATGACATGTATAAGGAAAAAGTCAATTACTTCCTGTCCTTGACAAACTGTAAGAAAAGAATGAATTCTCGGTAAGAACCTGCAGATCTATTGACTATACATGACTTACAACATTCTTAAGGCAAGCTTTTTATGGGGGTATGAGACTGTGCATTGGACCTTAAGTCCTTGTACATATTGGTACAGGCAAGAGAGAAAACTGACATGGCCCGACAGAGTTCAGGCAAGTGCATCTTAAGATTAACAAATGACTTCTCCCTCACTTGCCTACAATGCTTCTGGTATTGTTCCAACTCATCTTCCAACCTCTTCCGTAGGGTGGCAACCATTAACTGCTTATCTTCCAAAGGATTCTTGTCTACATTATCTGGGTCCATCTCATCAGGAGGTGTCCTTTTTTCCAAGTACTTACGACGTGACGCATCCAAAATCCTCTCTCTGCGTGCAAGCTCCTTGCTGATCTCCTCACATTTGTCCTTCAGTTTAATCTCTTCATCCTGCTGTAATATGATTGTCTCGATACCAGCTGCAAATGCAGTTATTGCAGACCTGGCCACACCATCCGTAACCTTCTCAAGGTGCTCATTCCAGGCTTGCAAAAGGTGATGGATAGGGGGTCTAGAAACCTTGAGTGGAGATGATACCTTCTCCTTCAAACTACTCTCAATAGGGATGAGATTCAATTTCAACCAATTGTTGAGAGCTCGAATGTAATCCTTTTGATTGGCCATTAGCTTCTGGAGTTGTGTGTTCCACTCTTGGACAACATTCCACAGTTGTTTAATACATTCTGAGTGCTGTATGCTTGTCTCCTTGGGAGCTTGGGATATGTCCAGGTTTTTGAGGTCTACGGCAATCTCCATCTGTGTTCTATGATGTACATGCATCAATTCCCACATTTTGGCCATACTGTGATCCAAATATCAGTATTAATTTTGGAATCTACAATCATGTAGTTCTTAATAGTAATGAAAAACAGACCTCTAGGGGGCCCATCTGATATAACAGCTGAAGTTGCTGAATTGAACAATTTCTTGTTGTCTTTTAGTGGACAAAATAGTTAAAAGTACAAATTATTCAAGGATATGATAATCTACTCAATTTCAGCTTTAACCATTAAGGAAACCACAACCTCCTTAGAAGCTTATTCACCAAAAGACAAAGCAATAATATTTTTAGTTCATCCACTTCAGCTGTTATCATGTCACCCCTAAGACAACAAAATCTAGTACACAGGGAGTTAAATGCCATAATTCAAGTGACTCCAATGTATACTACATTGAAATTAATAATGAAAAGAATACAAGACTGTCCACCAAATAGAAAGGAGCCACTACAGGCATTTTCAGACAAATTGAAAGCTGCAGAAAACAACACAATAGAAAACATAAAAAAAAGGGCCATTACCCAATGATGGTCCTAGGTATCTGGGATCTTGGAAGGTCTCTGGATGAAGACCCAACATTTGGCATTCCTTGCGTAAAGTGGCTGCTCTCAGACTACCTATGTTTTCATGCTTGTTAGCCCTAGATTTTACCATTGCACCAAGCACAGTTACTGTGATCAAAGATGTAATCACAGTTAAACTGCATTATGTTATGGAAGCCAAGGAGGAGGATGTGATGCAAAGAGCCATGATTAATAACTTTAACACAGTCAGGCCAACATAGACAGAGAAGCAGAATAACTCTATAAAACATTCTCACTTAAACCACTTGAGACTTGATAATGTGGTTGAAGAGGTTGGTGATGATAATTTGATGCAAATAAGCATGGTTGACCACCTTAGTTGGGTCAGATCAAAACTCAAAAATGACTGAAAAGTGGGAATTATATGAAACCATGCACTCTGCAATGATGAATCAGTGTAAAACACTACAAATATGTGGGCTCTCTGCAGAATGTGCTGCCCTGATAACAAGAATGGCTTGGTGTGATATTTATATATGGTTATAGATGTGACTCTTCTGGCATAGATTGAAATAATTTTTTTCATAAGTAGCATAGGTTGAAATAAATTCTTATACTATTTTATAAATACACATTCATATAAGGTTTCGGAGGATGGAAAATAGGATTTAGGATAGAATGGTCTAGTTGGTAATTGTGAAATAAACTAAAGAAGAGAATAACTACATTAGGTAGGATTGCAGATTGCTTATGTATAGGTCTTCATAGGGTCTAAGAGTTTAGGCATGAGAGAAATTTGCTTCTTCCCCTGAGAGAAATAATATTGGTTAAGTGGGTGAGTAAAGGAAACAAAAATAGGGTAGCGAATAGATTAACTAACTAATATCAAGCCATATGACAGCGGAATTATGGATCAAGACATTGCAATCTTGATATAAGAGTTAGAATGCATAGATCAAGAATAATAAGTATTTCAGATTCCATGAATTCAAGATTGTTGAATGACTGAATTTATTCACTTAGCCATAGGCCTGTATTTTGTGTATCCTATCAAAGAGATGATATGATGGGGTAACTGGCCTACAATTCAGTTTTATTTTTTTCAACCTCAAACTTCTCTTTATTTTCTCTCTTTTTTCTATATTACTTACCTAACTCATTACATGGTATTAGATCAAGGATCAACTATCCTTTCTTGCTTTTTCCCCTATCTTTTTTTCATACCAAGGATCAATGAGTTAGAGTCAGTAGTCAAATGGAAGATTGAAATAGCATGCTTTATTTTATTATAATGGATTTTTTGGAGACTTTTTGTGTTGGGTAGAGATCTTCTTTCTAAATTTTTGAAATCCTAGAGAGTAGAGATGCATTTATCTACAAAGATTCAGTAAGTTCAGATTTGACTGGAAAAGAACATTTTACTTTGAAGCAGTTGAAATTTTTGAACCAAAAATAAATGCATATCCCTGGTTTAGAGAAATGTTGAGATTACTAGAGTGAAATCTCTATATCTATCTTGTTTCTTCCCTGTATCGAGCTTCTTAGCAAAAGGGTATTGGGGTGAGATTAAATATTATTTGTTGGGTTATTTTCTCTATGGAACATCTGTCTGTTGAAAGATTTTTTTTATCAGCAACAGTAAAATCTGGTTTTATTAGTGTAGTAAAAATGAAAGAAAAACTCCTTTATCCCAAACATCAAGGGTGCATTTTTATATTTCTATGTTTTTTAACTTTACATCCAAGTTTCCTGGATTACCAGAAAGAAAATATATTAAGTTTAAATTCAATAAGAAATGAAAGCATTAATTAAGGAAAAACATTTGTTACTCAATAATGGAAGTTCAATCAAATGCACTTCAAAGCTTTTCTGGCTTGTTTCAAGTTACATGCCTATGACCATTCCCCCAAAGTTTCATAGTACTAGGTAAATTTACAGCTTCTCTATATGGAAAGGTCATATTTCTCAAAGGAAAGCAGAAGAATATAACTTCCGACACATACACTTCATATGTTACTATGAGAGAGAGAGAGAACATTGAGCATACTTAAACTGCTGTCAAGTAAACTCAAATAAGGTAGAGATCCTTGATATGCTCAGTACAAAAAAAAAAAAAAAAAGATGTATTCACAAGCAGAAAATTGATATTTACATAAGGAAATAAGAAAAGGTTTATCAGCAATCATCCAGAAAAGCACAAAATATCAGCATCCATATGCAAATCACAGAAAGACTTCGTACTTCAGAAACGAACCATTCTGAGAACTATAAATCAGGTTGTTGCCTAAAATACAAGAAAAGACTCACCTATTTTTCTACAAGTTTACTACATGGCCACTTACCCATCAACAAGAGTAACAAGTTTTGGGTACAACTGTTCATCACGTAAACGTTTTATTTCTGCATCAGTTGAATCCAAGGACTGCATGTCAACAATGTATCTTGTATGCAAGTGACTTACTGCTGCTTTTGCTTTCTCCAGTGTTTCAGGATTGGTGCCACGTTTCTTTTGCTTGTTCAGCAAAGCAACTTTTTTCCGATAATCAAGTTTCATAAGCTCACCAGCCTGTCAAGGATGAACCCGACCCAGTAAGAGCCAGGATGTTGTAATAAATCAAAAGCAGAATTATAAACAAGATTTACACTCCATATATCCGAAATTTCACATTTGTTAAGAACTATATACAGATTTGCACTATTTGTTAAGAATTCAACAGCCTTAGTAGATCAATATAGGCCAATTTCTCAGAACATTGACTAAATATTGAGTTTACAAATTAAAAATCTATTTTAACGGTGTAAGTTGTATACTTTGCCCAAACAAGGTCTATAAGCACTTGTAACCTACACAACAAAAAAGTAATCATGCTAAAATCTCGAACATAATTTCCACTCTAGTAAATTCATGAAACAGTTGAGTTTCAATAAAACACATCTGTAAGAAATTCTACTTTCATCTGTTGCCTTCAGACTTACAGGCGATCAAAGGAACATAAAACAGTTAAATGTTAATTGAAAATTTTATGACAAATGGTATTGCTTATCTGAGAAATAAGAAAAGAGCTAACATTAAGGCTCAGTTTGGAAAGAGTACAAATGCAAATATGTACAGTGCAAATCAAGGTTCAAAGTATCGGAAACGTAAGGTGTATCGGAAAGATAATTTTAAGAGATGTATCGGGATACGCTTTGGATACATGGATACGTACGAAAAATCAAGATATGCATAAATATGCTAAAAATCTTAAATAAATCCTAAAAGATATATTAATAACAATAGTTACAAGTTTTAGATGATTGTAAATAAGTTATTTAAAAGTAAAAAACTGTAATTTAATGGTCTATATAAAATTCAAGATATTGAGACACACTTAGTAACTATTGACAAATGATGGAATAACTAAAGCGTGAAACAACAAAAAAAACTAAAATGTATATCGGTATACATTAGTTTTAAAGCAATCAGAAAAATTTATCTTAATATTTATTAATACATAAATTTTAATAATTAATTATAACATTTATTGATAAGCATACACTAAGAAAAAGAGAAAATTTACTTAAAAATAAAAATGCATAACCAAATAGTAAGCAAATGGGCGTGGCTTAGTGGTGAACCTCTAGTTCTTAAAGCCTAATGTATTGGGTTCAAATCTTGGTATTGTTAATTTGTAGTTTTATACTAACAAAACGAATTTAATGAGAAAGAGGGTTATTAATTAACAAAATTAATGAGAAGAGAGTTCCAATTAGGCGCTAAAACTGAAATTCAAATTTAAAATAATGCATTAATTATAGGAGTAATTAACTACTTAATGAGAGAGAAATTCATTTAAATATAGGAGTAAATATATAATTAATGAGAAGTAATTCGGCCTTAAATATAATTTAATGAAATTAATGAGAGAGAAGGGGACTTGTATATCAGACTGTTTCAGAACCGTATCGACCGATACAGGGCCTGAAACGGTCCGATACAGATCGATACATACGAAAAGGAACACTACAGATAATTTCTATGCATTTTGTGTATCAGACTTGTACTGGAACGATACGTATTGGCTGATACGGTCCGATACGTTGCGAAATTTTGAACCTTGGTGCAAATACGTACAAAATAATACAAAATTTAAGGTTTTGCACTCTACATATTTGCATTTGTACTCCTTCCAAACTGAGCCTTAAAGAACAGAAAGATCAACATCAATTTAGGGTCCATTGCAACCTAACATGAAAAAATCCTAGATAATAATGGGATCTCTGGCCCACAATGCTTAACACAGTTGTGCAAAGAACTTGAAAGAAGTAGAAAAGTAAGGGATGATAAAACCAAATTAAGTGACAACAAACCTTTACTTCATCATAAAGCTTCTTCTCCCATGCAAGCAACTTATCCAACACAGATGCATGAGTTTCATTATCATCAAAATCTAATTCATCTTTCTCATCATCAGCATTAGCCAAACCTTTGAAGGACCTATTCCACGTAATAGCACGCATGACCCTTTTAGAATGATCAATGTGTCCTGCAAATGGGAGCAAGGTAATTAAACATAAAGAAGAAAATTAACAGCATATATATATCACTCATTGGTAAATAAATTTTAAGAAAAACAATATAAGACTAAAGAATCATTGGGAATAAAGATCAAAAGATGTAGTGATGGACATTGAGTATCTACCTTTTCCAAATTTTTTGTAATGACTGATATAGCATTATTTTCCATTTACAGATAATGTACAAGTGTACAGTTTGTATATGTTGTATACTTGTACAGGAGTCGCATGAAAAGGACTGTGCAGGCCTTGTATATGGGATAGAGTCCCTGGCTCCCACCTTTATTGTCATATAATACAATACAAATACCTCAGTTTATCCACAAAAAGAAGGCTAAAGAATCAGTTCAAGTTTTGTTTGGTGTTGTGTTTTATTTTCCTTTCACTTAATTTTCTTTTTCTTTTTGGATAACTCCATTTGTGGGGGGTCCATACTGCACAACAGACACCCACGTCCAAATCCAACACTCTTGCTTGTCCACCAAGGAATGAAGTAAACCAGATATTTTTCCTAAACCACAAGTTAGTGCAAATTTCCATTTGTCTCTCCACTTAAAAATTGTTTTGCATTCTCATAATTCTCGTTCCTTACATTTGATAGTTGATACTCTTTTCTCAATAATCATTATACCAATTGCGAAAATATCAGAAATTCAAATACATAACCAACTTGGAGATTCACCTATGTAAGACTCTAAGTCCTGAAATTTTAATTTTAGAGATCATAGAAATACAGCATGAATGCATAACATAGAGGAGAAGAAACATAGCAACACACAATATAAGTAGATCAACACATAAATACAACTTCAATGCAGTTATTATGGAAAAGAAAAGATGATTTGAATCCAAATACCTCGATTATCAGCAAAATTAGAGTGGTAATGGAACCGATTGGCTTCCAACATGGTAGACACTTCCCTAGCACTCTCCGACGCCTTGAGGAAGTGGTCGTCAATCTTGGACAATATCTGAAACAGATTCATATTTGGCACCTTGCTTACTTTCTTAGCCTCCGAAGATGCAGCATGCGAACGAACCACCTGCTTTTGCTGCTTCTCTGGCTTCACGGGCGTCTCAATCACCTTCTCCGGCGTCTGAGGCTCAACCTTACTCTCAGTGTCACCATCAGCAACAACATTTTCCTTCTTACTAGACCTATTATCATGCCCGTCGCCGTCACCTTCCTTCTTCTCGGGACTGATCTCCTCCACTTCACTCAAGGACGGTGCAGGAATTTCGACCGAAAAGAAATAATCCCAGGTGGAGTTCTCGGACTCTTGTGGAGCTGGCACAGAGTTGTCAGGCGGTGGAGCGCGAGGTGGCGATCGAGGTGGTGGTGGCGGCGACCGTGGACGTGGTGGGACTGCCGTTTCGGAAGTTCTTGCGGCACTGCGGCTGCCACGACGGATAAGGTTGATCTCTTCTTCCACTTCAGCTTCGTCTTCTTCTTGTATGGGGTCGGCCGGTTTGGGGTCGACCCTGGGAATAGAGAATTCAGGCATGGTGGCAGCACGCAGAAGAGGGGCCGGAGGATTGAAATCGGGGAGAGGGGGAGGTGGAGGGAGAGTTTCCATGGGAGGTTGGATGACGGGCTGATGGGGTCGGGGATCTTGGACTTGGCACTGGGCGTAGTCAGTGAGAGCGCCGCCGGTGCTCTTAAGGGACACGGAGTAGGCAACATGAGCGGCAGCGAAGGCGTTGCGTTTGGAGACAGCTTCTCTCATGAACTGTTTCCTCTCTTTGCATCGGATAACAGCTTCTTCGGTCTCGATTCTTGATTGCGTGCAGCCCATAATTAGTCCTGTAGCTTCCGGTTCTCAGCTTCGGAGGATTTGGGCATTTAAAGAAGTTAATTTTGCTTTTGGTTTCTGAGGTAAAGGAGGAGGGTGGTGGAGGGATTGAATTCCGAAGAAGAACAGAGAAGGGTGACCTTGCCCTGTTTGCAATTCGAAGAAGAAAAGAAAAGGAGGAAAACAGAGATGACGAAATTTTCGGCTATCAGCCCAGAACGATGAGGCAACAGACGATCAGAACCGGGATTTCAATTCAAACCAACTTCTGAAATCTTAATTCTCATATTCTGAAATAAAAAACGAGAGCCCCCAGAATACTTGACGAAGAAGGCAGAGAGACGTTTCAAATTCAACGTTCATAGCTTTCGGAGGAGAAGATAGAAACAAACAAATGAAGACGGCAGGAAACGAGCAGGTTCGGGGTTCCTACCTGATTGGCTGCTAACTTCAGCAACTCACAAAAGAAGATGCTATGTACAACTCGTTCCATTATAGCTACGACGAGAGCAGGCATCGTAACCACCCATAAAAATCGCCCAGGTGGACCGATTCTGGGTCCAAGTAAATCTTATTGGTGGGTCCACACTGCTGTTTGGCAAATGCCACGCAGACGCCCACTACGCTACTAAAACCCGGTATCATGACAGCTGAGCTGCAGAGTGCAGACAGCTATGTTACCATGAGATGATGTAGTAGACTGTCCTCCGTTAGATAAGAAGCCTAGATGATTAGATCAAACAGATCTTAAAGGTAATATTTCTCTTTGTCGTAGCGGACCCATACGATGGTGATCTCTGAACCTCTGATCTATCTTTCATTAAAAACGAGGCAACACAAAAGAAGGCATATCGCATCGCAGTTAAGATGAGAACGGCCTAGCATAACTCTCTTGAAAACTTGTTGGGCCCTCTGGCCCACGACAGAATAGTATTAATGAGATTTTAATGACCGAGAGTCCAATAGAAGGAAGCCAGCAAACGATCTTTTTTCTTTCCTTATCTAAGAAAGCTTGTGGGCCCACTATCGGTCCTTTGTTTTATAGCGACACTATAAGCCTATTTCCCTATTAGTGATATTGATCAAAATTCTAAAGTGTGGCGGTGTATTGTTCTGAAGCCCACAAGACTGGCAGTGGCTTTTTGGGCCGGCCCACCAAGTGTGGGATGCGTGGACTGGACACGGCTAACAGCATGTAGCCAGAAGAAAAGATGTGGGTGATAATTGATACAACATTCCAAACCAACATCTCTTTCACTCTGCATGTAAAATGTAAGCAATCAATTTTGAAAGAAATATGTGTTCCTGTCTAAATGATTAAGTGGTTAGCACATTACTAGAATAAAAAAGACAGGAGCTGTTTGGATTACATAATTGTTAGCATAGGCTTTGTAACATTTGAAGGGGTTCTCTCCAAATCAAACCCTTGTTTTTTCATTGTCGTTGACTTCAAGAATATTAGGCCCCACAGTTTAAAACGAAACAAAAGAAGCGTTCAGCAATCAGGAGGTAGTGTTAAAGTGTTTTCTTTTTCTCTAAAAAAAATGTTTCTACCTTTTCCTTCAAGCCAAACAGGCAATAAAAAAAAATGATTCCAAACTAGCAATTCCCCTAGTTTTTAAAATCTAGAAGCATGAAAATCTTAGGCTTTCTTTGGTTTGGTTGTGGCTGGGCTTTAGAAAGCCAATAAAGCATGAGAAAGATCTTTTGGTGAGATGCTCTTTTAAAGCCATAACCTAGGAGAAGTTGAAGTCCAAAAATACTAAAAATAGGAAGCTCCAATTGAAGACTTCTCTAATGTCTTGCTTTGATATTTCATTCTGATACCTGAAAAAAGTGAATCTTTCTCATTTATCTAATTGTTATTTATGCGGGGACCCGTGCGATGCATGGGAAATCTAAAAGATTTAATAATTTTATTTACTATTAATTAATACTAAATTAATAATCAAAATTTGATGTTAATTGACTAAAAGTATTCAAAGTTATTGTTAATGTCTATAATTTTAATAATTGTATTTTCCATTTAATGTTGATTTATAGAAAATAATCATTGTTAATTTAATATGAATAAATATTTTTATTAAATTTAGTTTTATTAATAATTTGTAGTAACTTTAATAATTGTTATTATTTTTAAAATGAGATTCCAATTAACTTTAAAAAAATAAAAATAATTACAAAAGTTAACATCTTTTATTAATTTCACTAATAATTAACAATTATATAGGAATGACAACGGAGTGGGTTCAGGGCGGGATACCCCATCCCTATCCCTACCTCATAGTCAAGACATTCTACTCCATTCCTGCCTTGTCCTCGTGTGTCAGGCAGGTTCAGGGCAAGGCAACCACTCCCTAATGTCGAGCGAGTTTAAAGGCAAGGCACCCCACTCCTCGTCAAGGATGGGGAATCCCCGAATTTCCTCGCCATGTCCCCAGTATTGGGCGGGTTCAAGTAAAGGTGTAAATCGGGTCGTGCTGCGCCGGCATGGCACAACTCGCATGTTGTGTCGTGCCGGCCCATGGGGCGTCCTAGGTCGTGCCTCCCCCCCTAGGATAATTTGGGGGGTCGGTTCGGCACGGCCAATGGCCCGAGCTCACACGGGCCTGTGCCATACCGTGGGCTGGGCTGGTCCATGTGCTAAGCCTTAGGCCAAGCCAGGCCACAGATCAAACCAAGCTATGAGAGGTCCATTTAAAAAAAATAGAAAAAAATGTTTAAATTTTTATTTCATATGATTTTTGATGTATATAATTGTTTATATATACAATTATACATATTCATGGGCCTGGTAACCCAACGGCTCGACCTGACCTAACTTGTTATTTTCCAAGCTTGGATAAGATTTCAGGCTCATGGGCTCAAGCTCGAGCTTTCTCAAATAAGCCCAGCCTGATACTATTACATATATAAAAAAAGTACTTATGTTATATATAATAAATATAWATATATATATATATATATATGCTTCTTAAATTATTAATAAATATCAATTTACTATTAGAAAATATAAATTACTTTATTAATTTATTAAATTATTACTAAATTAATATAATATTAGTTTATAAAAGTATACTGAAAATAAGACATTTTGTGTATAGATTAGGCTTCGGGCTTGGGCTCGGGCTTGAGCTTCATGCTTTATATAAGGGCTGGGCTTGGGCTTGCATATTTTATGTTGATTAAGAGGCCCATGTTAATTATAAAACTATGATTTTTTACAAATTAATTTTTATTTAATTTTTGTCTAGTATAAAAAATATAATATTTGTATATATATTAATACAAAATTTGTTATTTAAATATTATATAATAATATTTACCATATATGCATATAACTTCCAAGTTGAGCTTATTAGGGGTTATTTAGCTTGGGCCCGATCTGCTAAAGTCATCATTGGACTCCAAAAGTTTGATACTCAATTAGACTTCGAATCTAATTATCCGTGATAAATGTGTGGGCATGATGCATATCTCAGCTAGACCTAATTCAAAAGAAAATAGTTGCTTTAATTTGCAAATTTATAGATCTAATAGTTGCTTAAGTTATAAACAATTATTACTTTTTATTAATTATTAATGTTGTAATTAATAATATTAATTAATTAATACTGTTAATTATTAAAACTATTGTAATTATGAAAATTTCTATTAATTAAACTAACCCATACCCCTATGGGTTGTAAAACCTCAAAACCCATTCTTCAAGCAAAAAAGCTTGTCCCATTGTTGTCGTTCGGGAGGGTAGGGATGGGTACCCACCGAGTATGGTAGAAATTGCCATCCCTAGTTTAAATGTTGCATTCACTTGTTACTATATCAAAGTATGAATTGCCATACCTAATTATTAAAAATACTATAATTATATAAATATAATTAAATGTAATTTTTTAAAAATAATTCCTGTTACTTATAAAATAACATATGATGTAATTAAATGTATTTTTTTTAAAATAATTATTGTTAATTATAAAACAACCATATGTTGATTTTTTTAATTATAAAATAATTACTATAATAACTATTGTAATTACTAATACTTCTAATTAATAAATACGGCTAATTACTATGTAATTTTCTGATAACTACTGATAATTATAATTAAATACTGTTAAGTAATAAATACTGTTCATTAATTATAACTAAATACTGTATTTAATATTAATTAATAAATACTATTAATTAACTAAGTACTGTATTTATCGAAAATACTGTTAATTAATAAATACTGTAATTTTTAATAAGTACTGTTAATTATAAAATTACCGTGTGCTGATTTTTGTTAATTATATAAATTATTACCGTTAATTATACAAAATAATTACTATTAATTTTCTGATAATTACTTATAATTATAATTAAATAGTGTAAATTAAATACTGTATTCAATACTATTAATTAATAAATATTGTATTTTCTACACTAATGTTAATTAATAAACATTATAAAAAATAATGTTAATTACAAAAAATAGTTACTGTTAATTTTTTAATAATTACTGTTAATTACAGTTTATTTTTGTTACTTTGTTTTTGGCTATTTTTTTGAAAATACTGTTATTTAATAAATACATTATTTTTATTGAAAATACTGTTATTTAATTTATTGAAAATACTGTAAATTTAATTAAATACTGTAATTATTAAAAATTATGACAAATACTATAATTTTTAAACATTGTAATCATTAAATTACTGTCAATTAATAAAGACATTATTTTTAATAAATACTGTAATTATTAATACTTGTAATTAATAAATACGACATTATTAAAATACTGTAATTATTTAAATGTCATTAAATGTAATTTTAAAAAATAATTACTGTTAATTTTCTTGGTTGTTGTAAATACATTTTTAAAAAATAATATAAATACATTGTTTTTAAATAAATACTGTAATTAACAAAATACCGTTTTATGAATATATTGTTAATTTAATTAAATACTATTAATTAATAAATACTGTATTTTTGGTAATTATGTAGATTATTAAAAATTATGGAAAATACTTTAATTATGAATAATATCGTAATGATTAAATTACTGTTATTTAATAAATACTGTTAATTAGTAAATACAATATTTATTAAAATACTGTTAATTATTAAAAATATGTAATTATTTAATTGTAATTTTAAAATAATTACTGTTAACTACAGACCTACAATTGACTTTTGTATTTTTCTGATAATAACGTTTATTAATGACTGTTAATTCTATTATTATTGATTAATTGATTATTGTTACTGATTTTATACAACCTATGATTCACTGTTGGTGCGAATCGTCCGAAACACGATTTGGGTTTGGATAAATTTGGTATACTATCGAAAACAGGTCGCGAAAAACCTGTTTTCGTCATCTTCTTTGCTCG